ATGCAGCTGCTGTTAGTGATGATGAAACACCCGGTGCTGCTGCTAGTGGTGATGAAACACCCGGTGCTGCTTCTGGTGGTGATGAAACACTCGGTGCTGCTGCTCCTGGTAATGAAACATCCGGTGTTGCTGCTACTGTTGATGAAACAACCGGTGCTGATGGTGTTGAAACACCCGGTGAAGCGGATGCTGGTGATAACACATGGTGAAGCTAGTGGTGGTGATGAAACAGTCGGGGCTGCTTCTGCTGGTAATGAAAATACCGGTTCTGCTTCTGCTGTTGGTGAAACAGACGGTGCTGCTGCTGTTGGTGATGATAAAACACCCGGTGTTGCTGCTGCTGGTGATGATGAAACAGTCGGTATTGCAGTTGCAGTTAATGAAAAAGTCAGTTCTGCTGCTGTTGATGAAACAGTCGGTGCTGTTGCTGCTGGTGATGATGAAAGACCCGATGCTGATGCTGCTGGTGATAAAACACCCGGGGCCCCTGCTGCTAGTGATGATGAAACACCCGGTGCTGCTGCTGGCGATGGTGTTGAAACACCCGGTGCTGCTGCTGCTGATGGTGTTGAAACACCCGGTACTGCTGCTGCTGCTGGTGATGATGAAACACCAGGTGCTGCAGCTGCTGCGGGTGATGATACATCCGGTGCTGCTGCTGCTGGTGATGCTCAAATATTCGCCACTGCTGCTGGTGGTGATGAAACACCTGGTGCTGCTACTGATGATGAAACAGTCGGTGCTGCTGCTGGTGGTGATGAAACAGTCGATGCTGCTGCTGCTGTTGGTGAGGAAACACCCGATGCTGCTGCTGCTGTTGATGATGAAACAGTCAGAAATGCTGCGGCTGTTGATGAAACAGTCGGTATTGCTGCTGTTGATGAAACAGTCGGTGACTCTGCTACTGTTGATGAAACAGTCGGTGCTGCTGCTGTTGATGAAACAGTCGGTGCTGCTGCTGTTGATGAAACAGTCGGTTCTGCTGCTGCATATGAAACAGTCGGTGACTCTGCTGCTGGCGATGAAACTCCCGGTGCTGGTGATGATCAAATATTCGCCGCTGCTGCTGGTGGTGATGAAACAGTCAATGCTGCTACTGGTGGTGGTGAGGAAACACCAGATGCTGCTCCTGCTGTTAATGAGACACCCGGTGATGTTGGTGGTGGTGATGAAACAGTCGGGGCTGCTTTCTGCTGGTAATGAAAATACTGGTTCTGCTTCTGCTGTTGGTGATGATAAAACACCCGGTGCTCCTGCTGCTGGCGATGAAACAGTCGGTACTGCAGTTGCTGTTAATGAAAAAGTCGGTTCTGCTGCTGTTGATGATGAAACAGTCAGAACTGCAGCGGCTGTTGATGAAACAGTCGGTGCTGCTGCTGTTGATGAAACAATCACTGACTCTGCTGCTGTTGATAAAACAGTCGGTTCTGCTGCTGCTGGGGATGCAACAGTCGGTGACCCTGCTGCTGGTGATGAAACTCCCGGTGCTGCTGCGGCTGCTGCTGGTGATGAAACATCCGCTGCCACTGCTGCTAGTGATGATGAAACGCTCGGTGCAACTGCTGCTGTTGCTGTTGATGAAACATCAGGTGCATCTGCTGCTGTTGATAAAGTACCCGATTCTGCTGGTGTTTGTGATGAAACACAGGGTGCTTCTGCTGCTATTGAGGAAACAGTCGATGCTGCTGTTGCTGCTGGTGAAACACGCGGAGCTGCTGCTGCTGACGATGATACACCCGGTGCTACTGCTGGAAGTGGTGAAACACCCGGTGCTGCTACTACAGGAGATAATACACCCGGTGCTGCTGCTACTGGAGATAATACACCCGGTGCTGCTGTCGATCGTGATGAAACACCCGGTGCAGCGGTGCTGGTGATGAAACAGTCAGTGCAACTGCTGCTGTTACTGAAACAATCGGTGCTGCTGCTGCTGGTGATGAAACACCCGGTGCTTCTGCTGTTGGTGATGATGAAACACCCGGTTCGGTTGCTTTTCCTTGTGAAACAATCGGTGCTGCTGTTGCTGTTGATGAAATACCCGACGCTGCTGGTGCTGGTGATGACACATCCGGTGCTGCTGCTGCTGCTGGTGATGAAATATCCGCTGCTGCAGCTGCTGGTGATGAAACAGTCGATGCTGCTGCTGCTGGAGATAAAACGCCCGGTGCTGCTGCTGGTGATGAAACAAACGAAGCTGCTGCTACTGGTGGTGATGAAACACCAGATGCTGCTGGTGATGAAACTCCCGGTGGTGCTGCTGATACTGGTGATGAAACGTCCGGTGCAGCTGCTGCTGGTGATGAAACAGTCAGTGCAACTGCTGCTGTTAATGAAACAGTCGGTGCTGCTGCTGGTGGTGATGAAACAGTCGGTGCTGCTGCTGGTGGTGATGAAACACCCGGTGCTGCTGCTGGTGATGATGAAACACCCGGTGCAGCTGCTGTTGGTGATGAAACAATCAGTGCAACTGCTGCTGTTACAGCGATAGCTCTATCATCGATAGATACAGCGATAGCAAGCGGCTTGACGTCTGCGAGGCACTACACATCAAGAAGTCAACACCAGCAATCAACAACCAATTAATGCACAACTATATTCTACCCACTTCAAGACTCCGCTCCAATATAGAAGCATCAAGAAATATGGACCAATAGGCTTTCGACAATTACTTCCATTCAATACCCATTGTTTCGTGTTCTGTCTTGTGTTTGAATTTAATACCCATTCAAAACCCATTGTTGAAAGTTTGTTTTCACCTCATCCACCTCACCCAAATGTAGATATAAAATCGAAGATGTGTAAGCTCTATTCAGTTTCAGTTGTGTGTTTGTAAACTAAAGTCTTTGAAAATGTAATAAGTTTTACGAAACGCGCTCAAGTGTCGCGTCAGACTAGAAATATAAATGAATTTTGGAGAATTGATCTTTGAATTACTATCAACAGTGAAAAGAAACGTAAGAAAGATCGAGAAAATTCGTGTTAGAATTATTAATCTTACTTTTTCGGTCATATTTAATAATATATATATATATATATATATATATATATATATATATATATATATATATATATATATATATGTCGTACCTAGTAGCCAGAACGCACTTCTCAGCCTACTATGCAAGGCCCGATTTGCCTAATAAGCCAAGTTTTCATGAAATAATTGTTTTTCATCAACCTAACCTACCTAACCTAACCTAACCTAACTTTTTTGGCTACCTAACCTAACCTAACCGATAAAGATAGGTTAGGTTAGGTTAGGTAGGGTTGGTTAGGTTCGGTCATATATCTACGTTAATTTTAACTCCAATAAAAAAAAATTGATCTCATACACAATGAATTGGGTAGCTTTATCATTTCATAAGAGAAAAATTAGAGAAAATATATTAATTCATGAAAATTTGGCTTATTAGGCAAATCGGGCCTTGCATAGTAGGCCAAAAATTGCGTTCTGGCTACTAGGTACGACATATATATATATATATATATATATATATATATATATATATATATATATATATATATATATATATATATATATATATATATGTCGTACCTAGTAGCCAGAACGCACTTCTCAGCCTACTATACATGGCCCGATTTGCCTAATAAGCCAAGTTTTCATGAATTAATTATTTTTCGACTACCTAACCTACCTAACCTAACCTAACCTAACTTTTTCTGCTACCTAACCTAACCTAACCTATAAAGATAGGTTAGGTTAGGTTAGGGAGGGTTGGTTAGGTTTGGTCATATATCTACGTTAATTTTAACTCCAATAAGAAAAATTGATCTCATATATAATGAAATGGATAGCTTTATCATTTCATAAGAAAAAAATTAGAGAAAATTTATTAATTCAGGAAAACTTGGCTTATTAGGCAAATCGGGCTTTGCATAGTAGGCTTGTTGTAATCCACAAGTTAGTAGGAATTATTAGCTAGAGGATCATTACTACAACACTTAACGAATGATGATTGAAAGTACATGTAAGTAGACAGACTATGGATCACATATCTAAGAAAGGTCAATGGATTAAGACCGAAGCTGTTTAGCCAAATGATTAATTCCTGGAAAGAGGAATTATTCTTCGTCAGGCTCCTAGGAACAAGATTACCGCTCTAGGGATAAGGTTAATCGGATTATACCTTCCTCAAGAGGCGTGGTGAAATGATTGAGGCCATTGTTGGCTGGAGTCAGTCTGATTGTGGAGTTTGAACTAGCAAGTCCTTTGGATCCCCGTTTGCGGCAGCAGCGAAGTGTAGCAGACAGCTATGCGAGAGCCTGTTGTGATCTTAGTGACCAAGTCTAGTCTGCAGTATGTGAGTATTGAATGTAAGACTAACCGGGTGTGGAGCGTTGTAGTAATCATTCCGTATTAGGGACTTAGGCGGAAGTTACGAGTGTGTGTGGTGATCGCGGAGGTCAAGTGGTCTATGGGTATTGGAAGTGTATTGACCTAATAGAGTATGTTAATATGTTATTATTTGTCAGAGACTATTCTTTGTAATTACTTACATGTACTTTCAATCATCATTCGTTAAGTGTTGTAGTAATGATCCTCTAGCTAATAATTCCTACTAACTTGTGGATTACAACAGGCTGAGAAGTGCGTTCTGGCTATTAGGTACGACATATATATATATATATATATATATATATATATATATATATATATATATATATATATATATATATATATATATATATATGACGTACCTAGTAGCCAGAACGCACTTCTCAGCCTACTATGCAAGGCCCGATTTGCCTAATAAGCCAAGTTTTCATGAATTAATTGTTTTTCGACTACCTACCCTACCTAACCTAACCTAACTTTTTCGGCTACCTAACCTAATCTAACCTATAAAGATAGGTTAGGTTAGGTTAGGTAGGGTTGGTTAGGTTCGGCCATATATCTACGTTAATTTTAACTTCAATAAAAAAAAATTGACCTCATACATAATCTTTAGGTTTAAAGGGTAGCTTTATCATTTCATAAGAAAAAAATTAGAGAAAATATATAAATTCAGGAAAACTTGGATTATTAGGCAAATCGGGCCTTGCATAGTAGGCTGACAAGTGCGTTCTGGCACCTAGGTACGACATATATATATATACATATATATATATATATATATATATATATATATATATATATATATATATATATATATATATATATATATATATATATATATATATATATATATATATATTGGTAGCAGTCTTTCCTGTAGACATATATTATTAAATATGACCGAAAAAGTAAGATTAATAATTCTAACACGAATTTTTGGGGAATATAAACCTGGATATGCGTATGGAAATGTCAAGACACACAAGCCTGGAAACCCACTTCGGCCAATCATTAGCCAGATACCCACACCCACGTACAGACTGGCGAAGCGACTCAACGGCCTGCTGACTCCTTATGTTCCTTGCGCCTTCAGCCTGAAGTCTCCAAAGGAATTTGTTGACTTACTGCGGGGCACACGGGCCACAGGGATAAGAGCCTCGTTGGACGTAGAATCGCTGTTTACCAACGTACCTGTGGACGAGACAATCGGAATGATAGCCGACAGAGTGTATCGTGATCCAGCCTGTACTCCTCTTGACATACCAGAAAATATTCTGAGGAAACTACTCCAAGCTTGTACTAAAGAGGCACCCTTCTTGAGCCCGGATGGGCACATGTATAAGCAAGTAGATGGGGTCGCCATGGGTTCTCCCCTAGGTGTCCTGTTTGCAAACTTCTACATGGGTACCATCGAGCAAAAAGTCTTAGTCGACATGAACTTGAAACCGGCCATATACTGCAGGTATGTTGACGACATTTTTACACAGGTACCTGATGTCAGACATCTGCAGGAGCTGAAGGAGGCATTTGAGCAGAGTTCCGTGCTGCGTTTCACTTACGAGATGTAAAAGGATGGGAACCCAGCAAACAATTTTAGGTTGCCACAACATATCTGGAAAGTATTTGAAAGTATTGGAAACGTTTGTTTTATCGTATCAGATACGATATTGTGTGTGGACTTAAATAGGTTTCCAAAACTTATAACCAAGACATATGTATCTAACACTAATTTGAGATGTTGTGGCAACTTTACACTCCTAACATGAGTCATTCATAATCCATTCATATACCAATATGAATCTCTTATGAAAGGTTTGAGCCAATAATCTGAACCCTTTTCACATCTTTGTGTTTAAAGTTAAGTTTCTTGAAATTAAATTATATTTTATATTATATTATTTTTATTATATTTTATATTATATTATTTTTATTATATTTTATATTATATTATTTTTATTATATTTTATATATATTATTTTTATTATATTTTATATTATATTATATTTTCAATTTAAATATTAAAACCAATTTAAGGGTAAAAAAAATCTAATAATTTATATTTCTTTTATTATTTACTAACAATTATAATTATTTACTAACGGAGAGAGGGGAGGCTGTACGGCGGAGAGTGGCGGACAGTGGCGGCGGGCGGACAGTGGCGGCGGTGGCGGATAGTGGCGGCGGGCGGATAGTGGCGGCGGGCGGACAGTGGCGGCGGGCGGACAGTGGCGGCTGTGGCGGATAGTGGCGGCGGGCGGACCATGGCGGCTTTGGCGGCGGTGGTGGACAGTGGCGGCGGGCGGACAGTGGCGGCGGCGGGCGGACAGTGGCGGCGGTGGGCGGACAGTGGTGGCGGCGGGCAGACAGTGGTGGCGGCGGGCGGACAGTGGAGGCGGCGGGCGGACAGTGGTGGCGGCGGGCGGACAGTGGTGGCGGCGGGCGGACAGTGGTGGCGGCGGGCGGACAGTGGTGGCGGCGGGCGGACAGTGGTGGCGGTGGCAGACAGTGGTGGCGGTGGCAGACAGTGGTGGCGGTGGCGGACAGTGGTGGCGGTGGCGGATAGTGGCGTCAGGCGGACAGTGGCGGCGGGCGGACAGTGGCGGCGGTGGCGGATAGTGGCGGCGGGCGGACAGGGTTGGCGGCGGGCGGACAGTGGCGGCGGGAGGACAGTGGCGGCGGTGGCGGATAGTGGCGGCGGGCGGACAGTGGCGGCTGTGGCGGATAGTGGCGGCGGCGGGCGGACAGTGGAGGCGGCGGGCGGACAGTGGAGGCGGCGGGCGGACAGTGGAGGCGGCGGGCGGACAGTGGTGGCGGCGGGCGGACAGTGGTGGCGGCGGGCGGACAGTGGTGGCGGCGGGCGGACAGTGGTGGCGGCGGGCGGACAGTGGTGGCGGTGGCAGACAGTGGTGGCGGTGGCGGACAGTGGCGGACAGTGGCGGCGGTGGCGGAC